TCTCAAAAAAAACTGGGTAACAGTTATTCGTCGCCACGCTGTATATTTATTCATAAAAAACTAAATTTTTGGAGGTATTTTCAAATCGGGCCAGCTCACTTAAATCTTAATATTTTTCCGAAATATTTTGGTGGACGTCTTAAGATATAATAAGTTTTGTAATCCCGGTGGAAAAACCGCAACTTTTTTTGGTGATGCAGTCTAATGTACATATGTACACGTATTTTTTTAAACAAACCTTCTTGCAGAGAATTTATTTAATTTGCAAAAGCCGGAGCACAAAAAGATTTGTCTTTGTACTACCGCTGCAACCTTATATGAATTCGTTTGGTGCAGCAGGATGAGCAGTTGGAAAATTATAAATTGCAAATGTTCAGGTATAACTTTTACCGACCTATTTTACTCCTCTATCTATGTAGTTAAGGTCAACAAGTCTTTTACCCTATTTGCTTATCATAAATGAAAAGCTGCCAGTGTAAATCAGAGGTTCACAAACTTTTTTTCTCATAGACCATTTTCAAAATTTTTCTGGTTTCACGCAAAAGAGGAAATCGAAATTTATTGCTCTTAAATGGAGTTGAAATAAGGGGGAAGATGGAAATTTTATTCCTCAGTGAGGAACTTTTGCGAGCTCTGTCTAAAAATACACGACTCAAAAAAATAAGGGAGGCTTTAAAACAAAAAAATTAAAGCTAAATAAACAGGCTATCTGATCCATATGGCGGTCTAACTGAAACAAATTTTTTGAAGCTCGTGGACAAAAAAGGCAAAAAATATGCAAAATACTTATTTTTGCGGTATCTGTTAGGATTTCATGGGAACCGAAATTCCTAAAAAACATTATCCAAGAAATCTTAAAGCTTCAAAATGCTTATTTATAGTCTCAATAAGACCATTTTAAACAGCCTGTCAGAAATAACCGAAAAATTTTTATTTTTTTTCTTGCCTTGGTAAAGCCAAGCCAACATGTTTGTTCTTTACTATCAAGACCAGCTAAACTTACGTGTACCCCAACTAACATCTTATGAACCCCAATTTTTTCTTCACTCCAACGTAGACCGTCGTCAAGTCTCCCGTGGACCCCTGGCGTCCAGCCGGACCACTTTGGTCATCACTGGTGTAAATCAATTTACTATGTAACATAATGATATAGCCGAAGAGATGACTGTTTTCGCTGTTATTCTTATCATACATATATATGTACATCAATATGAATGTATTTCATTTCTGCGAAAATCTTCAATTAGCTTGCAAAAGTAGGGGAACCACAATTTTACGAAAAATTATGAATGTAAAAATAAGAAAAGAATATTCCAAATCATTTTTGTAACTTGAAGATGATTATTCCTCTTTCGTCTTGCTATTTTTTATTTTTTTGATATTGTATTAAAAACTTTGTTGCGATGCTTTCATAAATGTTTAATTTTTGCTTTACAACTCACCCTTCTCATCGTTCTGCTCATCGGCGGCGGATAATTTGCGTTCAATGGGGCTCGATTTGCCCGAAATGCTGGCGTTGGAGCCCTTCTCATCGATACCAGACGCGCTGCCGCTAATAGAGTCGCTCTTGGCCGCCGCACTCTTATCGGGCACCAGCAACTGTTGGCCCGGATAGATGAAAGAACTGTTCAAGCGATTAAGATGTGTCAACTCTGAGGGTGTGGTGTCGAAACGGGCAGCCACCGATGTCAAGGTATCACGATTTCCAACCGTATACGATATGGTGGGTATGGCGGGCAGCGATGATTTCTTGCGCTCATCTAAAATGCATGGACACACGGGAAACATACGATTGGGAACGTCGACACGAAAGGAAAACCAGGAGGCATTGTTGGATTGGAGTGGAGTAGACGAAGTAGAGGAAAAATAGGAAAGAAAGAAGAAAAGAAAAAAAAAAATGTACATAAGTAAATAAATTTAAATGGTAAAATTAGATATACATAAATTTTAAATAATATTGCATAAAACAAATTAAATTAATAATAAAAAGTTAGTTTACAGTAAGTAATAAAATCGTATTGCAGTTGAAAGCTGCGCTAGTCATAGTTAGTATATTTTTTTTGTGTGTGCGTAGGTAGTTTAGTAGAAAAAAAAACAAAGCGGAAGATTACACCAACGCACTTATTTTAGGCAGTGCGGCGTGCGTATATTTACTTTTTGTTGTTGCTGTTGTAGTGATCGTTACCAATTTCGGCGTTTGCTCGAAGATAACAAATGCGCCACAGACGCCGCCGCTAGCAAGCAGCTTATGAAATGCGCCCCTGCGCTCATCACTGGCGCATGCGACGCCAGCGTCAATGTCAACATCAACGCCGCTGTTAGCTTGTGCATTCGCGCCAATTTTCCGCAGCTCCAACAATTCACGTGTTTTCTGCGTTTTACGAGCTCGAGGTAGATAGGCGACAATAAATTCGTGTAAATTTTCAACATTTCTAAATATTTCAATAGCTTTCATTTTGACACACGCGTTACATTAGAGTACATGGTTTCACTTGCGAGGAGATCTCGACTCTACCATCTGAGCCCCAATTTCAAACTATTTAACTTTAACTTCGGATATTCAAGCAAACACTTTTAATTCATAATTTTCGCTGATTCCTTCAAATTCCTTCCATACAAGCTGTTTATTCTTTCACAACCACTTACAAACATACGTTAGTAGATATGCATTTCATTTTCTAAGAACTTGCAAGTCAAGTGGAAAACTCCAATTACAATAACAAAAATACATAAAATACACTAGCGTCGCCTAATGTGGCTCTAATCAAGTAGGCGCTGACACCTCCGCAATTTGTTTTCCTCTTAAAAAGTACGCCATCTCTTATCCTCTCCCCCACCAACTCCTCGCTCCAAATGTCTAACACTGGGCACCACAACAACTGAATGCGCGCTCACTCATTCACTACTGACGGTGACTTAGACCTACACCGTTGGATAAGTGTGTGCAATTCGCAACCGCTCCGGAGAGTCAGTGCTAGAAATTCAAAAGCAAAAATGTAACTAATTAATTGTTGCTATTGTTTAAACTATTACTGGCGATCTGGGTTCTCTTTATTATTGTTGTCTTTATGTTGTTTTTTTTTTGATAACTTTTTCATTACGTTCTCAGCGTTTTTGTATGAACTGCCTTGTCGTTGTTGCTTTCACACTGTTTGTTTGCTATGATAAGTTGTTTTTTTGTTGGTTTATTGTTTTTGCAATCGAACTGCTTTATTTAGTCAAACTAGAGTTGCTGCCGTTGCAGAATGCTACGACTCTTAACCAGTTGTATAATAAATAATTTTTGTAATACAAACACCGTGTGGAATTTCAAAATTGACTCAAAGCGCTACAATCGGTATTCTCCGTGCTCTAGAAATATTTGTCAACTTTTGACGTACGGCGTACGACGCACAGTGCGGTAATTTATGTAATTTTTGGAAATTAATTCAAAGATACAGTTAAGATTTAGGCATCTAGCGCAAGTAGATGAAATTCTGATGAAAAAAATATTTTAAATCGTATTGAAAAAAAATATATATACATATATATATACTTAAAATTTGACACATTAGTCAGCTACAATGAGAGCTACATTTTTTGTTACTTCTACTCCATGGTGCAATAATTACAGGTATTGTCTTCCCAGAGAGCGCTTATTCCGATCTGCCTTATTTTAAAAATATCATTGTTGCCCACACTAAAACGTTTACTGCCAGGGGAAAGGGATATTTCCATACCCCATATACTATATATGTACACGTACTTTTTGTTTTGAAGAAACCACCTTGTAGAGAAATAAATTCAAAATTTGCATGGCTCACTACATTTCAAACGCCTTTTCCTTTGTTTTGAAAAATAATAAAAATTAAATTAAGCGAAAACAAAAGGCAAATCAAAATAAAAGTAAAAGAATCAACATTGAACTGCGTCAAAATGAAAATAAGGGAGCAAAACTCTCTGGGAAGACAATACCTGTAATTATTCTACCCAAAACATATTCAATGGGCCTCATGCATAAAAAGTGAGATTAAGCTCCGACTCGATCTTCAGTACAAATTCTCGAGCTTGAGCTCACCCCATCAGTGCAAAATATGAGTCCCAGCTTAAGCTCACTTTTTATGCATGAGCGTTGTTAACAGGTTAACCTAATATTCACGCACGCCGCCAATTTACCGTCAAAAATTTCTCATGCACATACAAGCCCTGTTTGCGTACGCACTATCCAGTAAATCCAGTACTAATTTTAACAGTTTTTTACTGGAAGTCGTTTTCGTACGCAAGAACTTGCAAGAAACTAGCAAAAGAGGGGAAATTAAGAGAGCAAAAATGACAGCTGAACTTGCAAGTTTTACTGGGTTTTTACTGGATAAATTTTTACTAGCAACTATTTGCTAGTAAGAAAAACAGCTGATGACATGATGCTTAATGTAATTCACATTAACAAAAAATTGTTTGTGGTGCTTTTAGAGTTGCAATTGACAAAATAAACGTATTTAAATATATAATAAGATGGAAAATACTAGTTTTCAACGAAAATTGCATCGGAAAATAACACATTAATCAGCTGTTCATAAAACTAGCAACTTCTTGCTGGTTTTGCGTTTTCGTACTTTCATTCATATTTCACTCATTGGGAGTAAATATTGGCTTACTCTCCGAAATTTGGTTACTGGCAAGTTACTGGATATTTTTTGCTAGAGAATACGAAAACACAACTACAACTTGTATGGGATCAACCGAAATTCAACGGCGTGCGTATGAAGCTAACTCAATTTCCAATTTTTGTTCTGCGCGACAATTTGATTTGACGTTTGTGCTCAATGAAATCAAATGTAAACGCGCGCAAGCCAATTTCGGGTGACGCAAAACGAAACAAATTCGATGGCGTGTACCAAAACGCAAGCCGCGACTATTAGGTTAGCCCATGATATAATAATTTTTATACCCGAGCGCGCTTGTGCACAAGGGTATATTACCTTTGTTCACATAACGGTTGTTTGTAAAAGCTAAAACGAATCGAGATAGATATAGACAAATGTATACATAAATGATCAGGATGAAAAAAAAAATCGATTAGCCATGTGTCTGTCCGTCCGTCTGTCCGTCTGTCCGTCTGTCCGTCCGTCCGTGTACACGATAACTCGAGCAAAAATTGACATAGTATCTCAACGAAATTTGGTATGTAGGTTTCCGTTAATCCAAGGTAGGTTGGTATTGAAAATGGGCGAAATCGGACTTTAACCACGCCCACTTCCCATATAACGGTAATTTCCAGAAATACGAAAACTGCGATATTTTAGTAACTACTGCAGATAATTCACTCAAAATTGATATTTACAATAATTTTTAGACGAAAAATAAGAATATTATAAATTTTTGGAAAATGGGCGTAGCCACGCCCACTTATGGTTACATGTGTATATCTTGGTAACCGCTACACCAATTTCTTCCAAACTTGGCACAGTTGTTGGCCTTGGTACAGCATAAAAAATTGCCAAAACTTTTTAAAATCGGACAATAACCACGCCCACATCCCCTATAACGGTAATTTAGAGAAATACAAAATCTTCGATAAATCAGTAAATATTGAAGCTAATTTATGCAAAATTGATGCTTGCAACAATTCTTTACCAAGAAATACGTTTATGGTAAAATTTTGGAAAATGGGCGTGGCATCTCCCACTTATGATCACATATATGTATATCGGTAACCGTTCTACCAATTTGTACCAAACTCGGCGTGGTTATTGTGCTTGCCACATATAAGCAAAACGTTGAAAATTATTGAAATCGGACTAAAATAACGGCCGCTTCTCATATAACGGTAAATTTCAGAAATGCTTGAAACTTCAATATTTCGAAATTGAAGGACGCTAATTTACTCAAAATTGATACACCCCGGCTTACCATCTAGCGGAAGGTTTCGGAAAGGTGAAAAAACATATATTTAATACTTGCGCCGGGTATTTAATGTTCGGCTCCGCCCGAACTTAGACTTTCTTACTTGTTAGAAGGTAGTTTCACTTCAAAATTTTTGACATAAACCGTGTCTGTGACAAACACGCAATGTGGCCACTGCTACGATATAGAACTTGGGGATTTTCGCTTGTTATTTTAGATATTTTTTAGCAGAACATGTAAAGATGTATATGTTTCATAACTGATCACTTAATTTTTAATATAAATATACGTATTTAATACATAAATTTTTGCCACTGCTAATCACATGAATAAAAATCATAAAAATGAAAATATAACGGCAATATTTCTTGTTTATAATGGATTAGATCCATCGCACACCACGGACTTTATCGGCCGCCGATTTAGATGCGCTCGCTAGTCTTTCCATTGCACCACAACTAATTGGTCGGAGCGATTAAAATAAATAGGCGGCCGATAAATTCTGTGGTATGCGGTGGCTCTTATAGCTGTATCCTTACATCTATTCCGTGTGTTGCAATATCCACGAAAGCAGCAGTTAATTTTTTATGAAGCAAATTATTAAAAAATATTCGAAAATTACTATTTATTTTTCCAACGTCAAAAGATGGATTTCTTTTTTTTAAGTTGGTACAACAAAAAATACGAAACACGTTTTCTGTCAGATAGCTAACATGGCGGATAAGAAGAAGAAGTGAAACTACCTTCTAAAAATTATTGTATCATGGGTTAGCCTATAAGGTAGAAGTGACAATTCAGTCGAGCTCTCTCATAGCTGACTGCAATGTCAAACAAAGAAATTAACTCTTTGTTATGCATTTGTCATCACTCAATATCT